TAAACAAAGCAACGCTTAATATTTCGAATGTTTTTTTTATTAAACAAATCCATCCAGTTATCTTCTATAATTACACATACACTGACACGGAAAATTCTAGTGGTTGACGGTAAAAAGAATTAATGTTTGTATTATAGCAATAATCGCATTTTGATATCATTAACATACGCGGGATTTTAACTTTTCTTCTTGACACACTCTTTCTTACTCAGTCAGTTATGTGCCATGCGTGATACACGCATAGGCGATCATGTACCTTTCGATACATGACTGACGAGGTAGATATTTTTCCCGCAGTATGTTGTCATTTCTTTTTGCGTTAGACCATCCAAGGCTATTTACACATAGCTGGTGGGAAAAAGATGATGATTCACACCTTTCCCAAAGGTATTAGCACATAAGTAATAGAGTCGATTGGAATTCGACTCTCCGATTCCTCAATCCGAGGTGCTATCCATTACTCCACCGTGCCTAACTAACCAATATAAACCTTGACGTTAAATTTCTTTGTGTAAATTTGACCACATGATTTATAGGTTGCGATTTAAACATTCAAGAAAAGGCTCTTGAATTGAATTATGGGAAACATTTCTTTTTAACTCCTTTATTAGAAGAAATCAAATATTAATAGATACTTCGTTGTACAGAAGGTAAAATTTTAGAGAAATACCAGAAAGATTTTGTTACAAAAAGCGTGGCAGTCAGGGCTTAAATTGATTTAAAAGCAGCTTGTATCATTCTGGTGGCTCTGGGGAATTTCCATGTACTGATCACAAAAGAAGTTATGAATTTTTCTATTAACCTGCAAATTATTTCTATTTTTATAATTGTTTTCTTTTTTTAACAAAATCTCTAAACAGGAAATAACAGCTATTTGAAATAACATTGCCTTATACTGAAAATGTTTTCTCGGTAATAATAATTAATTATAAAGCGAAATTAAATCGCAGATTTTGCAAAATATCCACTGATACAAAACAGGATTTCAACACCAAGAATTGTTTATTCTTTTTAATTTGCTCAATATTAACCTTAAAAAACAAACAAAAAACAAAAACAATTAACAAACAATTCACCCCTGGCAAGGCAGTAATGTCACTAAGACGCAAGGGGGCTACTGGAAGTGAAAAAGAATAAGAAGAGTTTAGAAAGAACCGGAAACCCAATCCTAAACAGGATACAGAGAGAAAATCCTCCGATCCTTTTCGGAAGACAGCGAGGGCTGTGAACCGGACGATAGGCGAATCTACCTACTCCTAATGATGGAAGAAATAAATAAAAAGTTATCAAAAAAGTTCACCCGAAGCAAGGCGATAATGTAACTACTATGTAAATGGCTACTGGGAGTAAAATAGAAGCGGAAGCCCAATTCTAAACAGAAAACAAGGGATACAACTCTATTCCTGTTCAAAAGACTAAGTGGAGATTGAACCGGGCAATAAGCAAATTAACTTACTCCTATTGAAGGAAGAAAATATAAATAGTTTTCAAAATTTCAGGGTTAAGCGGAGACGTTAGAATTATAGTCTTGGAGTAGACATTAGAAGGAACCGATCCTTAGATAAATAAGGGATAAACTTCTCCGCCTGTTCAAAAATCAGGGGCGGAATGTGAACTGGGGGATACGTATACCTATCTATTACTACATGAACAGATAATATATCCAGAGAACAATATTATACAGCTCAATACAGACCGTATAACAATAATTTGTAAATCTATATATTAGGCGTTAACACAGATATGAAAGTTGCTATGCTAATGATCATTCAAAATGTCGATTACCAACTTTCGAAACATAATTCTTGCAATAATTGACTCGCGATAGCAAAAGCTGTGGGCGGGCTAACTGAACTACTTAGATGTCGCCACATGAAAATGCATCAATGTACAATGGTGGCCTAATTTCCAATTAAATAGGCCTCAGAAATTGTGGAAGATATTGCTTGACATGTTGAGCCTTAAGTGAATCCTTTGCGTAGATATTATCTTACTGAAAAAAAAAAATGATGCAATTCAAACTATGATTGTCCCTGCTGACAAATTTACTGCCATGAGGCCGTTGAGGTTATGAGAGCACCCTTTTACCTCCAGCTCTCCCGACCTTGTTTGAGCGTTGGAAAATCTTCCAGCGCTAATTAGATCTGCTGAATGTCCTGGCGGTCAACACCCTACCATCTGTTATGTCGTCTGCCGCTTGGTCGTCTCCAGGCAGCGGCTGGCGGGTCGAACTGATAGATGGCTATGATGCGGTGGTCATCAGGTTTTCAAGCAATAGCGGCCTTGAAAATTGTCAAATAACGTTCCTGGCCTGTTTAGTATTAAGCAAAACTTTGGATGGATTAATCCTACTGCAATAATTTCCAATAGATTTCTAAATCTAGAAAATTGTCGAATTCATTGCATGGGAGGTTTAGTAGATCTTGAATTATTTGGGTGGATACTATTCTACTGGAATAAAGGAGAATACATTTTAAAACTTACAGGCCTTAGGAAATGTCGAATATCTTGCATGCCATGTTGAGATTTATTTGAAATATTTAGGCGGATATTATCTTACTGGGACACTATATTGTTATTCTGATTTCTCGAACCTACGTGACATTGTCAGCTTTTATCCCTCACACAAACCAGATTTGAATTAGATTTGAAACTTGTGTCACGTGACGCTTGATGCAAAGGGACGGGCCTATCTTACAATGGAAAAACTATCTTCACATTTTTATATTACAATTGTGCACTATTATTACTTGCATAAAACCGGGTGCTTCACTTATAAATGAACCTTACAGAGAAACTCCATATCAGCTTCCTTAGACACTATTGGATACGTGCAGAGCGGTATTGTGATTTAATTGAAGGCCTGGCTCCCGCCATGCGAAAAGGTAATCCTTTTGGTAAAAATGGATCCCAAAAGATCCGTATTGACACTCCAGATGTCACTTTTGTTGGAATATATGCTGTGCATGCTGTTCAATCTACAACTTATGCTATTAAATTATTTGATCATGTCGAGCTTGTGGAATACATGGCCATCCTGAAAACAGTCTTTCAGCAAATATATCGTGAAATTTTGCCATAATAACAACAGGAGATACAATCAACTGGCTATGGACGATATCGGTTGTCGAAGATGACACTAACTATATTTGTTTTTACAATGATGTTCACCTTGTACAAGAAAGACGAGTCCCTAGATATAGAAGGTTACAAAGTAAGATGCGCAGTTTATGAGGATATGTGGGGAAGATAAACTGTTAACCGTAGACTTAAACAGGTTAATATTATAGTGATCGGGAAGCGTCCTCTCCGGAGTCGGTTTCTCAATGTAGTTGTTCTTGAGGAGAAACTGCTCGAGTTGAACTTACATCTCACCAGCGTAATAGGAAGGGAAGGACGGTGGTTCGCTACAACATGCGCAGCATAGCGAGTCTTGGCCCTAGAGGTTGTTACTTATGGAACGAAAGAATGTAGTTCGTCTTAATACTTTCCCTGTAAATGGTGATAGAACAGTGAGAAACCTGCGACGTGGCGCCTTTAAAAATCTTGTTTAAAGATAGACTTTCTCTTATCTTACCCTGTGCCCTTGCATGGGATCACCGACCCTAAAGAGGAATCGCTCCTCGCCAAACATTCAATAAGTAGGAATTGACTTTGAAAAATGAATGTAGATTTTAGACACCAATCCTGCTGTTACCTAACGGCATACATTTGTTTATAGATTTATTATTTCATATCCTTTTCTATAACGTGGTTGAAAGTTCTTGTCACCGCTACATAATATATTTTTCTGTTTCCGATGGCTGTCAAGAGCTCCTACAGACCTTCTCGGTGTGTGACAGTGTCGATGATAGTGAATAAACTGAATTAAGTACATGTGCTTTGTATGACTGTATTAATTGTTCTTCTATTCTTGTCATTAACTTTTGGTAGTGGGGAAAAAATCTGTCAGATCACCCTGTCCAGAATAAATATTTCCAAGAATTTTGCCTTATAATTTTTTGGCACTTTTTTACTAAAATATCTTTTGAAATTACGCCGCATCTTTTATGCCAGAGGTAGATTTCAAATTCGCGATAGTTGGACGAAATTATCTACCTGACAACTCCTATTAGCTTTGACTTTAGAGTAACTTTCATATACCTATTGTCATTATTTAAAAGGCTATTATGTAGATTAAAAGTGTTATCATTGATAATAATCATTATGTTAATTTCATCACGTTTAATATTAGTACTTTGTTTCATTAAATGATATGCAATAAATTCAACTTATATATTTATAAATATATTTGATTCATTAATATCTTTCTTGAGATAACTTCTGGTTGCATTGGTATAAATAGAATCAAAATATTTATATCCTAATTCTTCTAATAAGACGTTTACAAGACGCAGGTTGTACAGATCATATAAAGGATATTACAAAGTTTTACAGACTCGTGTTCTTTTTTTTTCTATTATTTTTCGTTTAATCGTAATCGTGGCTTGTTTAACCGAAATAATACCTCATAAATATATTCAAGGTTTAAACATTTATTAATAAATTTACTAATTTTATTAATTACTATTTTTTTCTTGATTTGCTCTGCTGAAATTGGGGTGCGTCTTATACTTATGTGCGGATTATATGCCGTCAAATTAGGTAAACATTAAGCATATCTACTAATCTATAACATATATATATTGTACGCAGTTCAAGATTCTCATCGTCCTCCAGTGCGTTGTAATTTTCTTTTCTTTCTCTGTATAATAGTAAATTTCAGAAATATATTTCTTTGATCTTGCAGTTTCAATGAATCAAATGGTTTAGTTATTAAAATTTATATTAAAACGTTGACTTTATATATGATTATCATTACATGTAGATTGGAAATGTAAAGGGATTTTTCGGCAAGGGAGAAAATTGATAGGTGAATTTAGATAATATATAAAACCAGCAAAGAAATCATTAAGAAACTTTTTTTTTCTAATTTTCAGTTACTTATAAGTCTTTCAATGATATCACGTTTAAATACCGGTTCCAGTAAGAACACCGAAGTTAAGCATCATCGAGCCTGGTCAGTACCTAGATAGGTGACCGTTTGAGAACACTAGGTGCTGTATGTTTTGATGTTCTGGTGGTTTAATGGATAATAGCTCAAAACTTTTAATGAGAAAACCGAGTTCCAATTCCTGTTGGGTTCGTTATATTCACTTGCCCGCAACTACGATTAGGAAACCATTATTATCTAAAAAATATGTCTTACAATATAAAAACAATTCTGGCTTTAAATAACCTGTAAAGGGTTGATAAACCGTAGAAAATGAATGAACAAATCAATAAAAATCATTTACATATCATGGCATTAAAATAATTTAATATTGCATAAAATACAGCTACATGCAAAGACGCCATTCTGCTTTTAAGTAAAATGTAAAACTCCGAGTGCTGGACTAAAGTAATGGCCGACAGATTTTTATTGGATCTATCCAGATCAAAATGGCGGGAAGAAGGTATTTGACCAGTTGCGCCAAGCTGGTCAGAATAGAATGAGATTAAGACGGTTACTTGGCAGCTGGTCAGTTCTGATTCTTAATAGGCACAATTTGTGGATTAAATGCCAGTATTGATGAAGTGGTGTTCTGGTAGTCGGGGCAATGGGCAAACTTTTATTCTGATTGGTGACGAATTGATTAGAATTCCTCATTTCATTCCAAAGGATGTCTATCTCAGATAAGACAAGTTGGAAAAGTAGTTTATCTAAAATGCCAGAAAATAGGAAACAGGAAATAAAAAAAAAAATAAAATAACAGTTAGGAATAAAAATAGATATTTCTAAATTGCATTCATTATTCTGTAGTTTAAAATAAATTTATCTCTGTTAATATCTCCAGTGTTTTCTGAAATCTATATTTCTTTCTTTCTCTCTTTGTTTTTATTCTTCCTTTCTACAATTTGCTCAGTGCATTCCATAGGCTTTAAGAACTGTAGGGGATGCGTATATTAATTCCAAAATAAAATAAAATAAAAAAAATAAAAAATATATATTCTCCTTCACAGTAAGTTCTTCTGACTTCAGTGTACTAGTAGAGTTCCGACCACTTGGTGACGATTCATGGAAGTCATTAAAAGTGAAAGAGCCCAGTATTTATTAAATATACATTCATACATGCATGTTGATTAAGTCATATTACGCATTATTACTCATATTTAAACGTCTTGACACCTAATTTAACACTTGAAAAGAGCAGTCAATTTTTATAAATATGCATATATGACAGATACATTATGTCTCCTTGAGTAGGGTGATTGGATCTGCATACCCTGAAAGCTATATAGCCTCTAAAATGGTTGGTTTTCGTGACTGCTGGCGGCTCTGTCATAGCGTGTTAAATGAGAGTACGCCTTCTATCCCCCTCTCTTAAATGAGAGTACGCCATCTATTCCCCTCTCTTAAATGAGAGTACGCCTTCAAACCCCCTCTCTTAAATGAGAGTACGTCTTCTATTCCCCTCCCTTAAATGTGAGTACGCCTTCTATTCCCATCTCTTAAATGAGAGTACGCCTTCCAACCCCCTCCCTTAAATGAGAGTACGCCTTCTATTCCCCTCTCTTAAATGAGAGTACGTCTTCTATTCCCCTCCCTTAAATGTGAGTACGCCTTCTATTCCCCTCTCTTAAATGAGAGTACGCCTTCAAACCCCCTCTCTTAAATGAGAGTACGTCTTCTATTCCCCTCCCTTAAATGTGAGTACGCCTTCTATTCCCCTCTCTTAAATGAGAGTACGCCTTCAAACCCCCTCTCTTAAATGAGAGTACGTCTTCTATTCCCCTCTCTTAAATGAGAGTACGCCTTCTATTCCCCTCCCTTAAATGAGAGTACGCCTTCTATCCCCCTCTCTTAAAGCAGAAGTTTTTGATCGTAGATTCTTTTTAAGTTCGACTCTTGTCTGTACAAGAATTTCCCCTTAGCACTCTCTCTGTTGGGTGAAATGCATAAACCCCATCCATCATCACTAAAATGGATACCCATAAAGCATGTGAACTTCGTCGTACCTCAAAAATAGTCCTTCAGAAATGTGCTTCTGAACTGGATTCTGTTCTCTTTAAACTCTAAAATAAATGCTGTTCTATTTTTTCTGTCTAATTAATCTGGAAAACGTTCAGATCACTTGAAGTATTTCACCATTAATTTTTCAAAAATATTTCCGGGAAGTACTGGTGGATCTACTCCAATTTTTTAAGAATTTAAATTCATAGAAACGGTTTAATTTGAGGAAAAAACAAAACAATTTGGAAACCCTCTTCAGTAGTTCCAGTCTTTACGAACAGTCTGATGTTTTTAGCATAGGTGAAGTTTTTAATGTCTTTATGGAGTCTGGATTGATTAAACATCTCACCTCGCTTGGTCTTCTTTCAGATAAAACAATTTTCCTTTCTTTTCTCAATGTCAAATGTTGGGGCAATAAAAATTATATTAGAAAGAGTCTATAAATCTTTAGATTGGTTTGGATATCCCGAAGGCATTTTACAAGGTTTACCATGCTAGTCTCTTCACGAGTTGAAATGTTATGGCATAGCTGGACAGATATTTAAACTGACTCAGTATTCCTTATCTGATCGCGAAGTGATACCTGCCGTGAACTGCCATTCATCCACATTTTTTACATTAATTCAGCTGTTTCCCTGGTCTCTCTATTTGGAACGTTATTCCGAATTTTCCTAAAAAACACCATCCTGATGGAATCAATTCTCAACTTGGTGTCTTTGTTCTATTTTCTCCAGTTTAATAGTAAGTGTGTTCGTTTCGATATAGTCAAATTGGTATCTGAACTAAAAATATAACCTACAATCTGATGTTAATTAGGGCAAGGAATGGATTATTAATTTTAACGTCTCCAAAAAGGAAACTGTTCTTTTTAATTGTCTGAGATTAACATTTTTAACCTCCAAGAGAGTGACGCATCGCAAATTCTATGGTTAATGTTTTCCGCTTTATTAATTGGAAGTATTACATTGAATCAATTGTTATATATGATGCTTGGAAATTTAGTTCATTCTGTGGTGCTAGACAATTCTACATATTTCTGTTTTCCATTCGTCGGGCGCTTCTACTATGTATTTAGGGATTCTTGATAAAATACGAAGAAACGTGTTTTTAAAACAGTTTTTTTTTTAAAGTTTAACTTAATAAAATTAATTAAAAATAGCAATTGGACTGCAATTATTAATAATTAAGTTTAATTTAAAAAACACTGGCAATTGTTTTAAGAAACTTCCGTAAATGTGTTTCTGCTGTCAAAAGTTTCTAAAATGAAAGTAAGAAAGATAATGAAATGTATTACTTAAAATAAAATCCACAAATTTTGAAACAAATATTAAGATAAAAAGGAAATCTATTCGCATTTTTATATATTTTTTTTAACTAAAAAAAGATCTGGAGACAAAAAGACCTCGTGTGGTTGACAGTCTCATGTGTGTGCGAAATAAGATGATGCTCAAAATGAGAAAGGATATATATATATATATAACTTATGCAAACTTAGGTAATCCGTATGAGTAGACCGGAGGAGGATGATGAAATAGCTTATTACATGGAATCTTAAAGTGGTCTAATTTTTATTAAAAAAAAAAAATATATATATATATATATATATATATATATATATATATATATTACAGTTCCATTTTCATCTGGATGTTACCTGCATCAATAATGGAAGATGGCCGGGAAGTACAGCGACGGAAACTCTGGGGTATAACAACCAAGATTAGGACACTAGGCCAATTAGAAAGCCACATAATAATTATCATTTCTCAATAAATAATTTCTCCCAAAATAATGAAAGAATTACGAAGAATACAACGGCCTAAATTTGACGATTAAAACAACCAAAACCAGAAATGCTGCTCTAAATATCCAGGCAACTTATAATAATTTTACTTTCTCTCCTTAATCCATCCATATTTGCATTAACATTTTAATAAGTCAAGTAAAGTGACTTACGTTATAGACATTTGGGAGATCACGTTACTTTGGATTCATGACTGACTAGGCAGAAGATGTTCCTCGCAGAAGGCTGCCGTTTCCTTCTCCGTTAGACTGGTAAACAATAAAAGCTATAGGATACTGGCTGTTCAACTATCCAACCCATAACTTGGGGAGAGAGAAAAAGGTTTCATAAACTTATCAATGTTAGTTGCGGGTAAGAGAATATATATATATATATAGATATATATTATAGTTATTTAAAAAAATATGATTCCATCGATACATAAGAGTTCTCATTTTTCAAAAACAGAAGCTAAAAACTTATGTTTAATTATAGAAATTGAATTAAATTACCCAGCTCTGTTTCATCCTCAAGCGAATTTTGGAACCTTTTAGAAAATAATTAAAATTTAGGCTCTACTTTTGTATTGAGCATTGTTTTTTAAAAATAAAAACAAAAATACTACAAAACTTCGGATTATTTACCTAACGGTTCTTTCCTATTTTCCTATGTATTGGCACACACACACACGCACAGACATACACACACATACATATATACCAGATTAGAATTGGAACTCGGATCTCAGATTTATTATTTCGCGCCGTTATTCATTACATCTCCCCGCACGTCCAGTTCATTGTTAATATATAAATAACGTTTGGTTTCCCATTTCGGATCAAAATTCTATGCAGCTGATAACGGACAAAACTGTTGAGTACAGAACAGAAAGAAAAAGGGAAGAAGAAAAAAAAATCTAACCAGATTCCCTGTTGGCAAAACAAAATGCTCTAGTGAACAAAGAAAGCAACATTCATGGTGATTATACATACAAATTGAGCGTAAGGCTAACCTTTTATACAGCGCTTGAAAAATGTCAGACTTTATTTTGAATTGGATCATTTAAAATTTGCCGAAATGTCAGAGATGCACTGGTCTACGAATAAAACACTCTTTCAGTCAGTTCGTATGAGTTATGTGTGCCATGCATCAGTCGGATTCATTAATTTATTTTCATTTTTTTCTGTTCGATTCAAACATAGATTCCAGACAGAATAGAATATTCTTTAATTTTTTTTTTTTTTTTTTTTTTTTTGGCATAAGCCGGAGAGGCGAAAATAATATGAATG